CTCTAATCGCATCGTCTCGTGTAGTGTTCCTTTTTGTCTCCATAAATGCACATATCTATGAGGATTCTCATTACTAATACAATCTTAATTCAAATCTTTACTCACCAAAAAGATAAGTTCTGATTAGGAATATGTAGAGATACTACTTGAAATGAGTATAGTAGTACCGTTTTTCATAGTCTTTATTTAACTAACAATCAGTAATCGCGTAATTATGTTAAATCTATTTTAATGGTTCCCGATATTTTCATTTGTTGGAACATGGAACCAAAGATTAAATTTAAACGTAAGAATAAAGCTCAAGAACCATGGTTTATGGAACTCCAAAATTAGGATTTTGAAAATATATTATTTTGGGAGAGACATAAGCACAAAGTTAAGGTTTAGGAAGAGATATGTTTTGCTCTTTTTTTTGTTTTTTTCACTTAAAAATATTATATTAAACATGGTGAAATTCGATTCGGAATAAAAGGATGTGATACAATTGTGGAATACGAGGATGAAATACAGAACCGATGTCAACATGAACGACATCGGAGTCAAACACTACAACCGAAAGACCAAACATAAACCTAAGACTCTTGAACACAAGCTAAATCCCGAACCACGAAGAACCAATCAAGCCACCCCTCAAAGGAGCCAAAAACCACAGCAATAGAGACAACATGTAGTGAAAGCGACGACGCATGATGAAGGAAAAAAAACCAATAAAAAAATCTAAAAAGTAATCTTTTTTCTTTTTGGTTTGAAATTGAAATTATAAAACAAATTCACAAAAGTTTTTTGTTTTCTTTTTCTAAATTTTTTCCAGTGGTCCATTTGAAAGGTGAAACACTACCGAATAAAAGTGAGAATGGGACCATAAGCTTGTCATCTTTACATCACCACTCTGTTTCTGAGTCCGACCATCACGGACATAAACATGGTCCAATGACACACAATCTCCATGACTTATCTCTACGAGCTACTCAACTAGTATTAACAACACTTCAGTTGTTATGTAATGTGAAAACAGAGAGGAGACCTTTTCTTTGTATTAGCTCTCTCAAGTCCTTTTCCATTTGCAGGATTTTGTTTAAAACCTAATGGTGTCAGATTGAGTTTGTGTCTCTTTTTCAACAGTTCTCTCACTTCAATACCACCAGACAGACAACTAATGAAAAGCTAGAATCAATCAATCAAAAACATAATTTACTTTTGTAAGAATTGGATGATACTGCATTTGATAAGATCAGAGAGTTAGTGATGTACCTCTTTTGTTGTTCATTGGTTCTTCTGTGTCCACATCCTTATAGATTTGTCGAGTGAGCCTGATGCAATCAAGTTCTCAGTAGGGTGGGATGCTACGCTTGTGACAGTTTCGGTATGACCTTCTAGTTTCTGAAGCATTTTCCTTGAATTCAACTCCCACATGTACACACAGTTGTCCTCGGATCCGCTAATGATCCGCTTCCCGTTTGTCATAGAGTACGCAGAGGAAATGCAGTATTGGGAGTTTGTGTGTCCGGTGTACGTTTTGACGAATTTAGCCGTAGAAAGTTTCCACAACCTCTGTATACTCAATATCATCAAAACAATCAGCGATATGATCATAAACACATTCCGAAAGACAAAAACACAATTCTACCAATCCGTGGTTATGAACACGCTTCAAATCCAAATCTCAAATACCCTCAAGACGTATCTTTTTTACGCCAAGCTAAACTCTAACATATAGTTTCCAAGATTATTGACCCAAAATGAAATTAGAGAGGCAATCAATAGTTCTGCTACACACCTTATTGACTATTCCTTAACACCATCTAAAGCTACAAACTTTCGTATGTCGAGAGCCAACATCGTTTCCATTCGATTCTCCTACATAAGAATTCTACAACAGCAACCTAGAATCTCATACATTGTCCTTAAAATGGTAATCACATTGTAAAGCTCGAGTCTTTGAGATTTACCAGCCTATTGTTGAGTGTACCAATGAGGATGAATTCGCCGTTCGGAGAGAACCTAACAAAGGAAACAGGAGGATTCTCATCGTCAATGATGGTTTTCACACAATGCCCAGTTCCAGAATCCCAAATCCGACACAACCCATCGTAGCTACTAGACACAATCAGAGACCCGTCACGATTGAAATCAACTGAAGTCACAGGATCAGAATGCGCAGGAAGAACTTTCAAGCATTTCCCAGATTTAACATCCCAAATACGAACAGTCTCGTCGAAAGAACCAGAGACAATCATGTTGGATTGAGGATTGAAGTTAACACAGAAGACGTAATTCGAGTGTCCGTTTAGGGTTTTGATCAGAGCACCTGATTCGACGTCCCATAGCTTTAGGGTTTTGTCGTCGGAAGCTGAGACGATGAACCTCGAGTCAGAGGAGAAAGCGATGTCCGATACGCCGTTTTCGTGGCCGGAGAACTCGTTCACGGGTTTAGCGATTGAGCCGTCTACTCGTGCAGTGTCGATTGGGTAAGTGCGGATTGTTCTATCGGCGGAAGCGGAGGCTAAGAGACGACCGTCGGAGGAGAATTTCACGGAGGAGACGGCTCGATCGTGTGAATTTAGGGTTTGTGAGTGAATGTAAGGTGTAAAGCTTCCTCCTTTAACTTGTTCTTCCATGAGTGTATTTGATTTTACTTCGGAATTTCAAATCGGAAAGTTACGAAATTTCCGATCGTCCTAGGGTTTTTGGGAAGGGTTGGGAATTTTTGTAGTAATGTTACTAATCTAGCCACACATTGCAAAGTAAGGGGTGAGTTTTGTAAATAATAATAGTATCTGGGGTATTTTCGAATTTCTATATATTAGAGTTTTATAAACACGTGAGATTTACTGTACTTTAGAAGTTATGGGGTAAAATTTTGAAAAGAAGAATAATATCGGGGTAAGGTAGCTTCTAGTTTCCGTATGTACATGTTAGTTTCGTTTGAAAGTTACAGGGTAAAATTTGAAGATACTAATAATATTGGGGTACTTTCGAGTTTCCTCATTTTAAAAGCTCCATTATTATTTCCGGCTGGTTTTCTATTTTGTCGTTCCCGGCAAATTTCGTCTGAAGTCACTAGATTTCTTCGCCGGCGGCGATTCGAGCTTTGGCAAATGATGCAAGCAGCAGCGAATATTCCGGTGGTTTGGAATCTTTCGCTTCGTGGGTCATCTTCTAAAGTCCAAATACTGAACCCTAAACATCGAAAGGCTCATGCGATTCATTGTTTGAGGTTTATATCGAGTCTCGTCTCTTTTACTCGTCAGGTTAATCACAATTGAGTTTTATACATTTGATTAGAAATTTAGTTTTTTTGGGTAGTCGGACGAATTTTCATGAAATCATTGCTTATGTTAATTTGTTTTTGTCACATATTTCAATCTTTCTGGTTTCTGTAGAATTTGTGCTAAAAAAATGATTTTTTTTTTCATTCTAGATCAGAAGAGTTTGAGAATCGTCAGGTAATTTTTATTTGGTTTGAAGTATGTTAATGTCTCTCTCTGGTTTTCTTGCAGAATGTAACTTTGGTTAGTTTTACAGGAAAATGTTGAACTGTCATCTTCTGTTATAAAAGAAGCAAAACATAAGGACATATGGAACCTCTTTAAAGAAGCTCAACAAAGTAAAGTTTGTTTCAATGCCACTGTTTTCTTGATTTTGAATATTTGGAAAACTCATTCACTGATCGTATTGTTATATTTTGGGATTTAGATATCCTTTTCTTAAACAAGCAACGAGTAGCTGCAGTTAAAGAGTTAGAGAAGGTGAAAAAAGAGAAAGATGAATTACTAGAGAGGATAAACCAATTGGAAGCAGAGAGTCAGATCATAATCAAGAAAGGTTACTGTTTCTTTCTGCAAAATCTTGCTTTGATGATTCATAGATATGTTTCTCTAAGTTATCTGGACCATGTATATGTAGACAAGTCGTCTATATTCTGGGAGTTGCTTCTTCGTATTGATTCTATGGTGATCAATGGATTAATTGGGATCGAAGAAGCTTCTTCCATGAGAAAGCTTGTTAGGGAGCATGAAGTGAATATCTCTGAGTTTCCTCTTGATGTTCTGCAACAAGGAGATGCCGAAGTTCTAGCAGAACTTAGACGGTTCCCAAATGAAGGCAAAAGGTGAACATTCTAGTGTACTTTATTTTCGTAACTTTTAAGTCGGATTTTAAATTTGTCATTCGATTACAGGAATGGTCTCCACGTGATTCATATATGCACCGAGATGGCTCCATTAGTTTCTGTTGGACCTTTGGCTTCATATATTACAGGATTGTCTTGTGCACTCCAAGAAAAGGGTTACTTGGTTGAGATTATATTGCCCAAGTATGAGTCAAATGCTTCAGACAAATACATATTATACATTATCACCAACTTCATTTGTGATACATAATCCTATTAATGAATATAATTAATAGATATTCTACACTTGATTTGGACGAAGTTGAAGGGCTCCGGGAAATCGAAGCTGACACATATTCTTATTTTAATGGTCAGCTCCATGCAAACCGAATATGGAATGGGTGAGTGAGTTATTGGAAGTTGTTTTTTCTTATAAAGTTGACATCTTTTCAGCGTTGGTAAGAGAAGAATTGGCAAAATACTACCAAGCATTCCACTTTCTTCTTCAATTTAAGGCAAGCAGTATCTTGTTTATGCAGAGTTGTCTCTGGAATAGGAGTGACGCTTATTCAACCGTTGTATTACGTGTCAATGTTTAGCCGTGATAAAGTATATGGCTATCCGGACGATGTTGATAGGTCAGTACTTCCATTTAGCTTGAACTACATTTGTTCTTAGACTGGTTTGATTTATTTGCAATGTTTTTTTTTTAATCTCTTAATTTAAAATCAGATTTGCCTACTTTTCTCGTGCTTCGTTGGATTACATTGCAAAATCTGGAAAGCAGCCTGATGTGTTACACATTCACAACTGGCAAACCGCAATAGTTGGACCGCTGTTTTGGGATGTTTTTGTTAATCAGGTAAAAAATACACTTCAAACTTCAGAGGTCATTACAAAGATCACCCCGCCATAGTATTCTTATTGACATCTCTTTGCGAATTTTGTAGGGGCTTGAAGGTACTAGAGTACTCTTGACATGCCATGACTTTGACTCAAAGGCAAGCCACTTTGCTTTCTCTCTTGGTGCTTTATACATTCTATATTGGCAAGATCAATTAAAATTTTGTGTAGCATATCGTCTTTTGTTTTTAGTGTCTTGTGCCTCCTGAGAAGTTGGAGTTATGTGGGCTTGATCCAGCTAGTCTTCATCGTGTTGATCGCTTACAAGATAACACGAATCCACAAGTGGTTAATATTTTGAAGGTAAGTGTAAGGAAAATACAGTACACAAGAATTATCTCTATGTTACACTCTTATTTTCACATTTCTGTACTTTGTTCTTACTTAGGGTGGTATCGTCTACTCGAACAAAGTTGTAATAATGTCATCCTCACATTCTGAGGGAAGGACATTCCCTCATAAATCAATCCCTGGTCTCGAACAAACTTTAGCTGTTCACAAGTAAGTTACTGACGCTTTTTTAGTTATCTTAAATATATCGATCACGGTGTACTCATTGTATTCTCTTCTCTTAAAATCTAGGGAGAAATTGTTTTTTGCTCCCTTTGGATTGGACAACTCAACATGGGATCCTTCAAGAGATGTGTATCTCCCTGAAAACTACAGTGTTGAGGATATACGGGGAAAATCAATCTGCAAAGTCGAATTGCAGCGTCAACTCGGTCTAGTGGAGGATGCTTCAATCACCATTGTATGTCTTTCTCACTTTCTAG